TGGTTCTGGCCTATGCAATTGTGCCAAACTGATCCTTGGGGTTTTGATGATGAATCTTACCCACTCAAGTGAAAGAGAATTGTATACTTGTAGAAGTATTTTTTTTCTTGTAGAACATCTTGAAACTTTCTCTTTTCTATAAGTTCATGTATACTCCTAAATCAAATCTTAATCATTTTGAAAATCGCTTTCATCATGCTCTTTGCTTTTGATTCTGTGGAAACGCCGGTCTTGCCAGGCTTCGTAAGCTGAGTCCAAGTCAAATGTGTGTGTGAAATCACCCCTTGCTCCAAGCTTGGCAGAACCTTGTCCCCAGGTGGGGAAGCAGAGCCAGCCTGGGCTCACCTCGAAGATTAGGGATGTTGTGGAGTCACTGACAATAAAATTAGGGGGCGGGGGGGGGGAGTGGAAAAACTTAGGAGGGTTGCTTTAGTATTTCCAGCTGCTTAAATAAATGTTTGCATATTCTACCAAGATTTTAAAAAAAAGAATATTTCATCCCTCTTATCAAAGGGAGCTGTTAAGAACAAAGTTCTCCATCTTGATGATGTTAGAATGTTATTTTTAAAAGACAGTCCTCATCTCATTTCATCCCAGAGAGGATTCCAACTATTTTGTTTGGAATTCCTCTCTAAAGATAAGGCACCCTCCCGTCACACCCTAGGGGTCCTTTAACTTTTCCTTCAGTGGTTTAGCGCCACCAAATGTCACGAGGCTGGCCCTTCCATCTTATTGTAGACCACAGTGTAGCCGAGGAAATGAGGCAAGTGGCTGGCTGTGGGGATCGGATCCTTACCCCATTCCTCCTCCCATCCTGCCATCTTTGCAAACATTTTCTCTTTTAAGTGAATTTTATTCTTGAAGAGGCAACAACTGCTTTTTACTATATGGAATATTCTCAAGGTTAATTGGAAGGAACGCCTCACTTTCCTCAGCTTTCCTCAGATGCCACTTCTGCTTCTTCATGCAGCGGAGTTTTTGCTGCATCGCAATGCTTCTCTCTCAGAAGCTTATTCTAGTGAATGCTGCATGGTAGTTGCTGTTTCGAATCAATTTGAAAAGACTCATGGGTCTTTTTCTCATGAAGGAAGAGAGTTAAATGAGCAAGATGCTGTTTAGTGTCAGGGACATGCATTCTTTTTTTTTTTTTGGCAGTAGAATTTTTTAAAAATTTGAACAGCTCAATAAAATTTGTCTGTCTATCACACACAGACACACACGTTCAGATTTAAATCACGGTATGGGTAGATCTTTACACGTTCACGTTGCAATACTTTTATAACGTGAAAGTAAACCTTTTAGAGGATCTCCTTTATCCTTCATTATCATTAAATTCCCTCAATTGTTTCTCTTTGCCTTTTCTTTTTTGGGTCACACCTGGCAATGCACAGGAGTTACTCCTGGTTCATACACTCAGGAACCACTCCTCCTGGCGGTGCTCGGGAATCAAACCTGGGTCGGCTGTGTGCAAGGCAAACGCCCTACCCACTGCTATTGCTTCAGCCCCTCTTTGCCTTTTCTTGCCCACTATCTCCTCCAACTGCCATCTTCTATTTCATCTTACATTGCCACACCAGCAGTTATTAGGGCTAATTCCTGGCCCTTGTGCTCAGGGATCACTCTTCTGACAGTGCTCAGGGGACCCTCTGTGGTGCCTGAAGTTGACCTGGGTGAACCGTGTACAAGGCAGGCACCTTCACCTCTGTTCTTTCTCCTCATCCGGCTCCATTTCTGCCTTCTCTAGGCTCCACAGCCCCTTCTCTCCAAACTCTTCGTGAGAAGCTCAGATGGGGTGAAGTAACACCTTTGATGATGCGGTCTGGGAGTTGTGTTTTTTTTTTCATTTTCTAATAATTTTTATTGAATCACTGTGAGATACAGTTACAAAGCTTTCATGATTGAGTTTCAGTCATACAATGATTGAACACCCTCCGGCCACCTCCACCCCACCCTGGGACTTAAATTCTTTTTGTTGTTGTTGTTGTTTTTTTGTTTTTTTGGGTCACACTCAGTGATGCTCAGGGGTTACTCCTGGCTCTGCACTCAGGAATTACTCCTGGCGGTGTTCTGGGGACCATATGTGATGTTGAGAATCAAACATGGGTCTCCCACATGCAAGGCAAACTCCCTACCTGCTGTACTATCATTCCAGCCCCCAGGACTTGAATTCTTAACTTTCAGAGCTCTGGCCTTTAGGGACAGAAGCAAGACAAATTTTCATGCAAGAAGGGATCGTCAAGTACCATGTCCCATCTGGGAGCGCCTTTTCCTTCTGCATTGGACACACATTTGGTGACACCATGTACCTCCCATGGGTGACTGGATTCATAGCATCCAGAGGAGATGAAAATATATATATATATATATATATACACATATATATTTATAATTTTGTACCATGCAATACAAGGAAAATCTTGGGAGTCAGTTTGTGTGATGAAACTGAATATACTGTGCTTCCTTCACTTTTGGCATGAAAAAATATGACAGGATTTTTTTGGTTTAGTTTTGAGACCCAACCAATGGATCTTATGGGTGTTCCAGGATTTGGTCCAGCAAGCAAAACACAATGATCTTGAACTTCCATCCATCCTACCTGACAGAGCAGAGGACACAGGAGAAGTCTGGCCTCTGGGATTTTCTCACTGCACCCGCTAACCGCTGAGCGACCCTGCTGGAGAAAAGGTCACTGCATCGTGCAGGAACAGGGCCCTGCTGTAGGAATGGTCACTGCATCAAGTGCAGGGATGGGGCCCTGCTGTAGGAATGGTCACTGCATCAAGTGCAGGGATGGGGCCCTGCTGGAGGAAGGGTCAAAGTGCCAGGACTGTCCCTTTCTCCAGCAAGGGAACCTGCCAGCCTGGAAAAAAACACAAGGCTTGCCTGCAGCCAGCTGCTCCTCACGCCTTCTCCCCCCTGTCGCTCTTTCCTCTATCAGGAGCATCTGTTTTCTGCATTCTTGCCTCGGATGTGCTCTCTCTGGGGTCAGCCTTCACTGCAGGCCGCTCCCTTGCCTGCAAACAAGCCTGTTCACTACTCCCAGCTCCTCACAAGTGCCCTGTCTCAGCCAGTCCCTCAGCGGCTCCCCGTCTGCCTCCATCCCCACCCATTTTCTTTCACCTTCAGAGCGTCTGTCTTCTCCCTGCTCCCCTTGGGCAAACCTCAGATGCCCCAACCAGGGGTCCGCCTGGTGCTGGTGGTTTCCAGGGGGTCACAGGGCAGGATGGAGTAGCAACAGAAAGGGGTTTATCTCCCTGTCTGGCCCACTGTGACCTTGCCAGAGAAGAGCCCGGGGAGGTCAGAGCAGGTAAAATTCTGCAAAAGCCCAGCAGAGTCCAGACCCCGAGGTCCCGCCAGCCCCTCAAGGGCTCACGTGCTGGAGGGCGATGTGTGGGAGCCGGTCCATCACCCTCACGGTATGGGAAGACCCAGTTGTCAGGCTGCAGGAGAGGAGTCAGCCAGACCCCCACCCAGGTGTCTAGGCCCATTGCCTAATTCTCATGGTAAGGCGTTTGATTCCAGAGAACTGCATCCACTGGGCAGGCAGAGCTGACCCTCGTGTTGGGGTCAGTTTTAGACAGATGGTATATCTAAAACTCAGCTTTGAATAACTTTGTAAGTCATAGTGCTTTAATATAAATAAAGAAATAAATAGATAAATCAGAGAGAATTGCCTCCAGAATGAGGAAAGAGGTCCAGGAAGGAATGGAGAGGAGTCACACCTCCCACGTTGGGGTCTGGGGGATCCATGACATGGAAGGGACAGTGATGCAGATGATGGTGGAGATGTGGGGGCGGGGGGAGAGGGTCTCTGTTCATTCTCGATTCCCAGGTTATTCAGTATTTTCAAGAATGAAAATAATAAGTAATAAAGATACTCGAAATTGGAAAGTGGAAATTTATGGGGAAGTAGAGAAAGAGAAAAGAACTCCCCTTATAGAGAGGAACTTAGTAGAGGACTAAGTTAACTCTGGCTCTTTTTGTGGGGGATTTATAAGAAAACCTGGACTTTGTGTTACAGGGACTGCAGGGACGTTAAAGGGAAGTTAGACCTTTTAAGTGAAAATTGGGCTCTTGGCAAGTGTTACAGAGAATGCAAGGATCTAATAGTCTGACCATTTGCCTTGAGTATTTCTCCATGATCTCAGCTAAGCGCTGGGGCAGAATTTTATGATGAACAATTGTTAACTCTCTATTTTATCAGAAAAGCTCAGGAATTTGCAGGAGGTCACACATGCTAGGGGAAAAGGGAGCTCAGATAGAGAAGGGAGCACCAAATAAAGGGTGTTGGGAGGATTCTTCCAGGGTAGGAGAAGCATGCTGAAAGTAGACTATAGACCAAATATGATTGCCACTCAGTGCCTTTTTTGCAAACCACAGCACCCAAAAGGAGAGGGAGAACAAAAGGGAATGCCCTGCCACAGAGGCAGGGTGGGGTGGGGGGATGGGGGGTGGGAGGGATACTGGGATCCGTGGTGGTGGAGAATGGGCACTGGTGGAGGGATGGGTACTTGATCATTGTATAACTGAGACCCAAGCACAAAAATTTGTAAGTCTACAACTGTACCTCATGGTGTTTCGCTAATAAAAATTAAAAACAAACAAACAAACAAACAATAACAACAAAAAATGCAACAGTAAAAAAAATAAAGTAGGACGGGGCAGGAAAAACAAAAACAAAACGGACTGCTCACAGCATCTGGCAAGGGTAAACTGAGGCTTCCCCTCTCACTGTGCAGTAAAGGGGAATGGAGCACGCTGGCAGTCGAGGCGGGTGGGTGGCCCCAAGGTGGAGTTGAGCCCCTCCTTGCGTCTTGGATGTCTGCATGAGCATCCTGGGGTCTGGCTCATGGTTGCTTCCATCAGCTTTTGTATTTGCAAAGTAAAATCAAGTCTTCTCGTTTTTTATTGTCTCTCTGACATTTCCTTTGGAAGAAAAATAGGGATCTAAAGTATTGTGTGTATGTGTGTATTTTCCTTCTTTTTTTTTTTTTCTTTAGGTTTACCTCCAATCCCTTCAGCTTCCAGAACAGGCTTTGCAGAATTTGCCATGAGGGAACGCATGCGGGAGAAATTACAAGCTGCAAGGGTGAGAGAAATCCCTTCAGTATTTTGTTTCGTGCTGATTGCACCTCTTCAGGGCTGGTCTGCTTAGCTTTCGTCGTTCCAAACTCTGAGCATTTGAATAGCATTTAATTTGGATTTCCTGTTTTAAATACTAACGTGTGCTTAACATTGGCACAAAAATACATGAGGCTCCAGATGAATTTAATATCTTTTTTCCTGTAAGCATCTCTTCATAAAGTACTGTGTTGTCTGTGTGTGTGTGTGTGTGTGTGTGTGTGAATGTGAGAGAGTGTGTGTGTTTGTGTGTGTGAGTGTGGGTGTGGGTGTGGGTGTGTGTATTATTTTCTCCCACGGTGGCAAGTGAGTGTTCGGAGCATCCTTCGCATTGAAGTGGTAATTTCATGTTTACCTTTTCAGTCTAAAGCAGAAAGCGCATTGCTGCAGGACATCCCCACGGCTCCGCCCAGGCGCCTGAGAAGTCCCAAGGAGAGGGAAGCAGAGACTGAATTTGGCTCTGAGGTGAGAAGCCCAGGTTGATCAAATGGAATATAAAATCTCCAGCAACCCTTGGCAGAGCAGAGTTGTGTGGTGGTGTCCAGCGTTTGTTAACCAGACTCCGTGCCTCATCTTCCTCAAGTGTTTTCCCCATGGCATCACGTGCCATTGTCCCAACAATCACAGGGCAAGTCCTGTTATTTTCACTCACACTTGACAGGTGAGAAGCCGGAGATGCAGAGTGATTCCCCAGGCTGCAGGACATGTGTGGGACTGAGCTGGGAGTTTTGCCACTCTGACTCTCACATCACAGCCTCGGGTCCTGCTGGAGAGCAGAGATAAGAGCTGGACAGGAATTCATGGGCCAGAGGGGTAGTATGGCACTTGCCTTGCACACAGCCGACTGGGGTTTGATCCCCGGCACCCCTTTTAGTCCTCTGAGCCCTGCCAGGAGTAATTGCTGGTGTTTAGTATCATGAAGGAGGAGGAGGAGGAGGAGGCGGGGGGGGGGGGGGGCTGGGATAGGGTAGAGGGAAGGGGAGTGTGTGATGCTGGAATATGTGATGTATGAAACCCTGTCATTAATGGTCTTGTAAATCATGGTGCCTAAAATCAATTATGAAAGATTGAGTCAAAAAATAAAATAAAGGCGAGCAAAAATAAAGAAATAAATAAGTTTACTCACACATCAATAAATTTACTTACCATAAATAAATAAATGTACTCACGATCCTCGGGGCACACTTCTGATGGAAGGCAGGTAAAGATTTCTGATGAAAGTTTCCGTCCTCCTATCCTTTCGAGCACAGTACGGGACACATTCTTAGCATGTTCAGCCAGCCCTGCCCGACAGGGTTTTCATTTGCTTTGTTTTAAATTCAGCTCTTCATTTCTTGGTTCACTTGACTAACAAGGAATTCTCGGCCGCCGCCATAATGAAGAAGTGCCCATTGTCCGTAGAATAAAGTTGCTGCTGCTTAATATGATTATCTAGAGTTGCAGATGGGATGGTTTGGCTTTAGGACGATACGATCGGGTTCTCGAAGGGCTGGAGAGGAGAAATGAGACAAGGTGGGAAGAGCAGCTGGTGGACTCGCTGTTGTTGGGAAAGGAAAGGACGCTGGGGGATGAGTCCACTAGAGGGCTGAGGGGCTCAGTTTCAGCAAGGTTGGCACCTCCCGAGGCTCTGGAGAAGGATGGGTGGTGTGGGCAGGGCCCATTTCCCATCAGGCCATTGGGCTGTCTCTCAAAGACACAAAGAGTTCTCTGCCAACTGGATCCTCTGTTGGTCCGAGGAAGGGAATCACACTTTTCAGCTTAGGATTTATTGAGTCTAAAATGATACATTTTGACAATGTTAGTTGGAAATGATCACTTTGGATAGGAACAGAGTATTGAAAGTAGGTAAAGGGATATACGTGATAACCTTTCCATATCTGTATTGCAAACTATAATGCCCAAAGAGGGGGGGAGAGAGAAAGAAAGAGACGGAGAGAAAGAGAGGTGGGGAGGGAGAGAGAGGGAGAGAGAGAGGGGTCGAAGGGAAGGAGGGAGGTGGGGAGGGAGGGAGGTGAGAGAGAGAGAGAGAGAGGAAGTTGCTGCCATGAAAGTGTGGGGCAGCAGGAGGGAAAACTGGGGACACTGGTGGTGGGAAATGTAGAGTGGTGAAGGGACAGGTGTTAGGACATTATATGAATGAAACCCAATCATGACAACTTTGTAATAGTGAATCTCACTGTTATTCAATTAAAAAATAAATACATTTAACACATTAATTAAATTTATTTAAGTTAACATGACAATCATAGTTGCAAATAATCGTGTTAGAAAGGAACTAAGTGTTGAAAGTAGGTAAAAGGATATACTTAATAACCTCTCATTATCTGTAATGCAAACCATAAGACCCAAAAGGAGAGAAAGAGAGAGAGAGAGAGAGAAATAGAGGGATAGACAGAGAGAGAGAAAAAAAGAATGTCTGCCAGAGAGGCCCCAAATAATAAATTGTGAAAGTCATTGTTCAAAAGTCTAAATTCTGGATTCAACAGTGAAGGGCAGTGGGAGTACTGTACTCAAAAGTATAAAAAAATCATCCAAAATTAAAAAAAAAAAACTCATGTTTTCCTTGACAAAAGCTAATGCAATTAGAAAACAAAAAACACAGGTGCCTTTAATACCAACAACTAATTAATGATTCATGCTAGAAAGCGTAATAGAAGAATAAAATGCACACCACAAAATGGAAGATTCTTAAGAGCTGTAGTAGAGGTGAGAGGGACATGAATAAAGGGTCTTGGGTACTTTGGTGGCCGTGGTGGCAGTGGGTGTAGTAACTTTGTATATCAATAATGCCAAAAAACATTAACACTGTTGTCACCGTGTTATACAAACTATAATGTAAATGATTAATTTTGTAACAAATAAGCAACATTCTGCTCTCAGCTTTACCTGCTACAAAGCTTTCCTTTGAAAAAGAGTCCATCTCCGCAATAATGCTTTATTTTTCCTTAGTCTTCGTTTTGTGTATTCTAGACTGGTCTAGCTCAACTTTTTATTTGTACCTCAAGTTTGTACTTCTTCTATGTCCTTTCCTCATGGCTTATTCTTTGCTTTCCATGTATGTCATTCTTAGTCCACACTAGGAGAGAGACTAAGCATGACAATTCATAAGCATGGGATAGCTTTCTATTTCCTAAGGTCTTCTAAGTATTTTTTTTCTTTTTGGTGAATCACTATGAGATGCAGTTACAAAGCTGTTCAAGGTCGGGTTTCAGCCATATAATGTTACAACACCTATCCCTCCACCAGTGCATATTTTCCACCACCAATGTCCCCAGTTTCCTTCCTGACTGTCTCCTTCTCTCCCTCCCTCCCTCCCCCCCTCTATCTCTCTTCCCTCCCTCTCTCTCTCTTTCTTCCCTCCCTCTTCCCCCCTCCTTCTCTCCCACCCCTCCCTTCCTCTCCCTCTCCCTCTCTTCCTCCCCCCTTTTGGGCATTATGGCTTGCAATAATATTGAGAGGTTATGTTTGCTCCTTTACCTATTTTTAGCACACTTATTCAAAGTGATCATTTCCAACTATCTTTGTCAAAGTGGTCCCTTTTCATCCCAGCACTTGAGGCAGCTTCTAACCGTGGACCCATCCTCCTGGCCCTTGTTTCTACTGTTGTTGGCTATTTGTCTCATAGTATTTTTTTTTTAATATCCCACGAATGGGACTGGAGCGATAGCAGAGCGGTAGGGCATTTGCCTTGTGAGTGGCCGGTCCAGCTGAGCTGGGTTGATTCTTCCGCCCCTCTTGGAGAGCCTGGCAAGCTACCGAGAGTATTTCACCTGCATGGCAGAGCCTGGCAAGCTACCCGTGACGTATTCAATATGCCAAACACAGAAACAACAAGTCTCACAATGGAGACGTTACTGTGCCTCTCGAGCAAATTGATGAACAACGGGAGGACAGTGCTACAGTGCCATAGAGGCAGGTGGAGAGGTGCAGTGGGCAGGAGGGAAACTGGGGACATTGGTGGTAGGAAATGTACAACTAGTAAAGGGACAGGTATTAGAATATTATATGACTGAAACCCAAGTATGAGCAACTTTGTAACTGTGTATATCACTGTGATCTAATTTTTTTAAATTTTAATTAAAATCATATATATATATTGGTTAAGGTATAGGAAAGCTATAAGATACTATTCAGCAATCTTAACCTTCAAAAACATAATTTGATGTTGGTTAGTTTTTCAATCCTATATGCTGGTATTAGACTGTCCTTAGTTTCTTACTTTAAATTAATTTATCATTTTTCCACTCTTGTAGCCAGGGAAAGAGATAGAAAGAACTCAACAAGATGGCTCCCAAAGTTATTCAAGATTGAAGTTCCGTGACTCTGCACGAAAAATTAAGTCTAGACCCTTGGTAGGAATTCCTCTCTTCTTAAATTATGCTTGTTTTAAATAATATGTGCAAGTTGTACTAGATTTCCTTGTAAGGAAAAAAAAAGAATACTCAAAAAGATTCCAAACTGCCCAAATGGTCTTTTATTTTTAAGTTTATAAATCCTATGTTGTTCATAATAAGTAAAACTGTCTCAGCATTGGTATTTCAAATAATAAATCCACTTTTTTGCATTTTAACAACATTTCCTGAAGTATTGACTGTTATAAGCAATGTATTTATGGATGTGTTGGAATGCAGTTATTATTATAAAATATAAAATGCTAAGTTACTTGTTAAAGAAGACCAACCAGTTCCTGGTGAACCAGTTCACCACCAGGACATCACTAGAGCAAAGGCCACGTGCTCAGGACGCCTGGAATATGCCTGATGATCAACTGTAGCTGATCATAGGACGATTGTTGCTATTTAGAGAATCGGAAACTCTGTCTCTTTGCTTCTTCTTAGGTCCCACCTGGCTTCCCTTCTGCCGAAGAAGCCTACAACTTCTTTACTTTCAATTTTGACCCAGAACCAGAGGAACCAGAAGAAAAACCAAAAGCCAAAGGTAGATGTGAAACTACCCACGAGAAGGAAGAAGGAGAGGAAGAAGAACCAGCTGTTCAAGAAGAGGTCAATAAAATGGCATTTGATAATGTATATGTAATGAGGACGGAGATGGTGATGGTGACGATAATGATGGTGGCGGTGATGCTGATGGTAATCAGAATGATGATGATGGAGATGCAGCTGGTGATGGTGATGGTGATGCTAGTGATGCTAAACATAATGGTGATGACTGAATTGGTGGAGCTGGTGATGGTGGTGATGGTGGAGTTGGTGGTAGTGATGATGATCATGAGTTGATAATGGTGGTGATGGTGATGATGGTGGTAGTGGTGATGGTGATGATGATGGTGATGGTGATCATGGTGGAGCTGGTGGTAGTGATGATCATGAGGATGGTGATGGTGATGGTGGTGATGCTAGTGATGGCGATAGTGGTGGAGCTGGTGATGGTGGTGATTTTGGAGCTGGTGATGAGTGGTGATGGTGGGGATGATGGTCGTAATGGTAGTGATGGTGATGATGATATCCTACCAAGGAAGAATATGTCTCAGGACAAACCTGCCACCACCACCACCACCACTTCTGCCACCACATCTTCTATGTCTTAGCATGATTCTCGTTATTCTCTAGAGTTGTTTATTTCATCCCCAGTAGGGGTACTAAGGTCCTTGTGAATCTGCCCATCTTTCTCCTGTGGAGAAAAAGAGAAAGAACAGAACATTGTGGGCTACAGATTTTTCTGCTAGACTCTAGGCTATGATTAGTGCTCTCTTCACGTACAAAATGTCTACCTCCCAAAGGCAAACACTGCCTTGAGCCTCTTCCTTTCCCTTCCTTGCCAGCAGCTATTTGTGCCTGGTACTAAAGCCAAGCTGGAACTTGGATTCTGTAATAGTGGCTGTATATGTGAAATCAAAGGAAATGCAACACTTAAAAATGGGTCAAGACTTAAGAAGACATTTCTCCCAACGAGATACGAAAGGTCAAAAAGCACATAAAAAGATGTTTAACATCACCAACCATCCAAGAAATGCAAATCAAAACCACATGAGATTCTACTTTACAAAAAAATTCAAATGGATATTATATATATGAAAACAAATAGGAAATAACAAGTGTTGGCAAGGATGTGAAGAAAGTGAGTGCTCGTGCACTGCTGGTGGGAATTCTGAAAAACAATCTGTGTTTTCTTCAAAAATTTAAACATAGAACTGTCATACGATCCAGCAGTTCCACTTCAGGAAATGTATGCAAAAGAATTGAAAACAGATTCTCACACAGTTATTTGGGCTCCCAGGTTCATAGAAGTATTAGTCATAATAGCTAGAAAGTGCTTTGGGGAAACCTAGGAACTCATCAACAGATAAAGTGGATAAGCAAAATGTGGAACAGGCGTAGCAATGAAAAATTGTGCAGCCTTTGAAAAGAAGGAAAATCTGACAGAGGCTATAACATGGATCACATTGTGGGATTCCATTAACATGAAGTACCTGGAGTTCTCAGATTCACAGAGGAAAGTAGACTGGTGGTTGCAGAGTGCACGAGGGTCATTAATCTTGGGGGCGCCGGCCGGTGGGGGGAGATATGTAGTGCTGGTGGCTTTACAATAATGTGAATGCGCTCAGAGCCACACAACGGTCTGCTTAAAAGTGGTTGTGATGGGCTGGAGAGCTCTACAGGGCTTAAGATGCTTCCCAGCCAGGTGCAGCCCTGGGGACCTGCAGTCTTTCCAGGCCTTAGCACTGAGCCTTCAGACCCGCATCACTGGGCCATGCATTTCCGTGAATGGTCCCTTGACCCCTGAACACTGCTCCAGAGGCAACCAGCCAATCAATACACAAATGGGAGGATCAATAAACCAGTCAGAAAGCATGCCAAAATTTGCAGTCAGACTATTAAAAAGTAAGTTGGTGCTTACTTTTTAATCACCTCCCTCCAAAAAAATAGTCTCCATGTATGGACTTCCTTCCCTTGGTCTACAGGACTTGGGAACACTTCATCATTATCTTACACATCAGCGTCCAGCTTTTTCTGGCTCTGTCTCTGGGAGGTTCTCACTGCCCCAGGACTTGATGGAGGCTGGAGCAGCCGTTTCTCCAAGGCTCCTTTGCCTGCCCAGCCAGTACTATGTGAGGTCTGAGGCGCCAGTGCAGTGCCCGTTCCACCAGCCCTGTGTGAACATCGAGGCAGGCCCTCCAGTCTCTCCCAGGCCTCTGAGGACGAGCCAGGAGCCACTCTGCCTTCGATAACCCAGTGTCCGAACTTACTGGGTTCACTGGCTTCAGTTCACCAAGTGGAGCCCCCAGGGAAAGGGCACAGAGTTGGGCTTCATCCTTGGAAGGCAGGACGCCACCTGGACACATCCCTGATGTTTATTTACATCACAGTGTTGCTCTCCATCCTGCTCCTTCCTTTTGCAGGTTTCTCCTCTGGAGGGAAACTGTTTCTGCAGCCACGCTTTCCATCTCACTTACTCCAAGGCCCTTCCATATAGAATTCAGGTTCTTCTCCCCAGAACTTCGTTTTAGTAGATCCATGTCGAAGGGAAGTTAGACTTTCAGATATTTGCTTTCTGTGTTCTATGAGATTTCCCTTGTCTGCCTCTGCTGTTTCCCACATTTGTTTGCTTGCTTTTGCCATAAGCAGAGGTGGGGCAGGAGCACGGGAGTGGACGCTCCGGGAACAGGGCCCAGGTGAACCTAGAGGCCCTAAATGGATGCCCAGAAGTCATACCTCCATGGTGGCCGGAGTTATTGAGATTTCAGGTGCTTAGTTTGGCGCTTCTCTTCTGATTTCAGCCTCTGCTCATTTTGACATTTTCCAAATACGTGGATTTGTGAGAATCAAAAGTGGGATCCACTAGTCAAATACAAGTAGCCTGATATTTTTAGAGTTTCATTTTTTAAAAAATGAAGAGATAGATGGGAAGCAGGGGGCAAGGGGATGCGAGTACATGGAGGTGTGAAGGAGAGTAGAGCTGAATATCCAAGCCAGACTTCACAACACTGAAAACAAGGCATCCAAACTCAACAACCGAGATCACAAATGTGCTGCCGAGGTGGCAGACTGGCATGGGAGTGGGTGGGAGTGGGTGGGAGGGAGCCCGGGAACTCTGGTGGAAGGAAGACACTGCTGGTGGGTTTGGTGTTGGTGCATTGTGTGTCTAAAACCCAACAATGGGTAATTTTGTAAGTCATGGGGCTCTAACAAAAATTTTAAAAGGAGAAAAAGGTAACTTTCTCATAGGATATATTGGGCTTTTTCCCCCTTTGGCTTTTTGGTCACACCTGGTGATGCTCAGAGGTTACTCCTGGCTCTGCACCCAGGAATCACCCCTGGCAATGCTCAGGGGATCATATGGGATGCTGGATATTGAACCAGGTTGTCCGCATGCAAGGCAAATGCCCTACCCTCTACACTATTGCTCCAGCCCCAGGATTCATCGTTTGAGGAGTGTAATGTCATGATTGTTGTACACAAGCTCTTCCTCTTTGCATGATTTCTTTTTCTTCTCATGTTAACATAAACAGGATGAGGAAGATCTGCATGACAGAGAAGCTGAGGATTCCCTCCTGGGTTTAGATCATATGGCCGAAGATGTTGTGGCCATCAGACCTGCAGAATATGAAAGTGTCCATGTTCGGCTGCAGATGGAGAAAGAACTCCTGTTTGTTCCCAGTAGGACAGCAGGTACTTGTTCTGTTTCATTTTTCTGCTCAGCTTGAACATCTTCATTTTCCCTCCAGTGAAATAGGGCAGATGCATAGGAACGCCCAAACTCCCCAACTGATTCAATAAGAAATGTCCTCAGATAAAAGTAGATTTATGGAAAAGTATACTCTTTTTTTCCCCAATTTTTATTAGTGAAACACCATGAGGTACAGTTGTAGATTTACAAATTTTTGTGCTTGGGTTTCGATTATACAATGATCAAATACCCATCCCTCCACCAGTGCCCATTTTCCACCACCATGGATAATATCCCTCCCACCCCCATTTCCCCCCATCCCACCCTGCCTCTGTGGCAGGGCATTCCCTTTTGTTCTCTCTCTCCTTTGGGGTGTTGTGATCTGCAAAAGAGGCTTTGAGTGGCAAACATGTTCAGTCCATAGTCTACTTTTAACATGCATCTCCCCTCCTGGGAGGAGCCTCCAAACACCCTTTATTTGGTGCTCCCTTCTCTATCTGAGCTGCCCTTTCCCCTAGAATGCCCGGCTGGCCTCTAAGATATGGAGTAATCCTCCTAGTGCTGATCTCAGCTATTCTTGGGTATTAATCTCATATTTTGTGACTTTATATCCCCCAGATGAATGCAATCTTTCTATGTCTATCCCTCTCTTTCTGACTCATTTCGCTTAGCCTAATACTTTCCATGTTGTACCACTTGTATGTAAATTTCATGACTTCATCTGGAAAAGTATACTCTTAAGAAACAATCATTGATAGACTAGCAGAAGAAATACCAGAGTGGTTATGTGCTGGGAGAGAAAGCAGTTGGAACAGAGAAGGGAACAGTAAGTCAATGATGGTTGGAGGGATTGCTCCGGATGGGAGAATGCTGAAAGTAGACAAAGGACCAAGCATGATGTCCTCTCAGTATCTGTATTGCAAAACATGATGCCCCAAAGTAGAGAGTAAGAAGGAAGGTGCTTGCCGCAGAGGCAGGAGGTGGCAGGAGGGATACTGGGGACACTGGTGGTAGAAAATATACACTGGTGAAGGGACAGGTGTTGGATCATTGTATGACTGAAACTCAATCATGAAAGCTTTATAACTATCCACAGTGATTGGATTTAAAAAAAGAGAAAGAAGTAACAGAGATGGGGCAGGAGAGATAGTACAGGAATGAAGCCGTTTTCCTGGCACCCTGCTGATCCGCTTGGGTTTTTTTATTTTTTGGCTCTTAGGTTTTGGGCTTTTTATTTTGTTTTGTTTTGTTTTGGCTTTTTGGATCACACCCGGCGATACTCATGTGTTCCTCCTGGCTCTGCACTCAGAAATCCCTCTTGGAGGTGCTCCAGGGAGTAGATGGGATGCTGAGGACTGAACCTGGGTTGGCCGCATGCAAGGTCAACGGCCTGATGTACTATCGCTCTGGCCCTGCTGATCCAGTTTGATCCTTGGCACCACAGAGGCTGCACAAACACCACCAGGAATGACTCCTGAGCACAGATCCGAGAGTAAGCCCTGAGCACTGCTGCTTAGGGCCCCTCCAAAACAAAAGAGGCAACATTAAACCAAAAAAGAGAAGGGGGTGGAGAGAATAGAGGGGCTGAGCACTTGCCTTGAGTGTAGCTGGCTCCAGTTCACTCCCCTACATCCCTGCGTAGCATCCCCTGAACACTGCCAGGAGTGAGCCCTGAATACAGAGCCAGGAGTGAGCCCTGAACACCACTGGGTGTCGCCCCATAGCAAACCCAGAGGAAGAAAGGGAAGGGGGTGAGAGGGGAGGGAGTGGGAGGGAGAGGAGGAAGAGAAGGAGGGGGAAGGGGAAGGGGAAGCGGAAGTAGAAGAGGAAGGAAGGGGAAAGGGAATGGGGATGAGAATGGGAAGGGGAGGGCTAAAGAAAGGGGAGGGAGGGGGAGGAGGAGGGAGAAGAAGGAAGGAGGAAGAGGAGGGGAAGGGGGAGGGGAGAAGGGCCAGGGACGCCAAATGTAGTGGGAGCCCTCTCAGCATATCACGGATGAGTTATGGAAGGAGCCCCTGAGAGAACAGCTGTGAGAAGGAACCTGAGCTCTGTCCACACTCCGCTCGCGGCTCCCCTGTGGAACACGTGTGTGGCCCGGTTTGGGGGCTTCCTCCCCTGGCCCCACTGAGTTTCCTACATTCCACTTCAGTCCACGAGGACCCGCTGACCTGGGCTCTGTCCCACAGGACACTGATTCTGACACTGATCTCAAGTTTCACGGCCTTTGCTCACCAGCCCCAAAGCACCCCAGACCCTTGCATTTGGAGTTTTTATGAGGCTTCATGCATAGGTCTGATTGATGAAATCACCGCCATGAGTGGTCCCTTCATCCGAGTTCTCCAGTCAGCCAGTTTTGGCACTCACTGACTGACGTCTAGCCCCGTGAATGGCAGGGAGAGGAAGAGGAAGGGAGTAAACAGCAGCTTTGAGGGGTGGGGGCTGCAATGGGGATGAGGGTGGTGTCCTCGTCACAGGAGCAGCTCAGAGATCCTGGAATCAGGAGTGGCTGAGAATGAGATCATTATCCATGCAGTCTCCACCCTCTCCGTGTGTTTCTAGAGCACCCGTGGCCAGTCACGGGGGCCCATTTCTCCCCCACCCGCCCCGCTGGGTTCTGCACCCTCTGCCCGATCACAGACCCCTGGGCTCGTCTCCTGCCAGAGCCTCTGATCCCAGCCTCTTGGCCTGTGCTCCCTCCTGCTCCCACTGACGCATTGCTCCTGCCTACTGCAGCACAGCATTCTGGAACTTTCTGCATCCCAGGCACACCTGCTTCTGAGTACACGCTGGGGCAGAAACACCTGTCTAGCCTCCGACTCTTCACCTTTCTCAGAGCAAATGCATCTCCTTGGAAAACCCTTTCTGTGATGCTCTATTTCCTGCACCCTCTCCTGTTTTGTCCCCTGGGTGTGTTCTTTGTCCTCTTGTCACTCTCTGCCATGCCCTGGGTTCCTGGTGGCTCCCAGATCCACAGAGAGGCCCCAGAACCCACTCAGCAGCAGCTGTCCACGGAAGCATGAGAGGGGTTGGGGCGATAGTACAGGGCAAGGCGCTGAGCCCCGCAAGCAGCAAGCCTGGATCCAGAACTGGGAGTCAACAGAGAGCACAGCCGGTACCACCCAAGCTCCCCCAATGCCCCCCAAAAGACCCAGGCTGCACCTGAGCAGTGGGTCTCTAAGATCTTGCTCCCATTGGCACAAATTGGTTTCCTGGTCTCAAGGCATTTCCTCACGCCTTACCTCTTGGGAGCTCCTGGAAGGCCATGAGTGGACACGGTCATCCCTGGACAGAGGAAAGGGGACGAGGGATGGGCTCGCACAGGAGTCTGGGGAGCCGCCGAGCTTTTGCTTTTAAGGGGATAGAGAGGTTTATTGGAAATGAGAAAGGAAAGGAAAGAAGCTCCCAAGCTTGTAGGACTAAGGATCTCAAGGTGACCCTCTACGTAACTACAGCAGTCCTGCTCCACGCCCTCGCCCAAGGGTTCCAAGCAACAGCTGAGGGTGGTCACTGAAAGATGTGATTCTGTCCCCGATACTGCAAGGCAACACCTAAAAAAGTTTCCCCGGTTCTGTCCCTAGAAATGAGCGAACAAGATGAGCAGTTTAAGAATGCGTACAGGGGCCGGAGCGATAGGAAGACGGGGAGGATGCTTGCCTGCATGCAGCCCACCCAGCTTCCACCCCAGGCTTCCCCGAGGTGCCCCCGAGTGATTCCTGAGCTCAGAGCTGGGGTAAGCCCTGAGCATGACTGGTGTGGCCCAACAAGTTTTAAAAAAAAGAAAAAAAGAAAAGAACAAATCCTAATTGCAGTCTTTAGGGCTTTACTCACTTTGGGTTTGGGTTGGTTTCTTTGTTTTTGAGGCAGCTCAGTTGGGCTGCTCCAGGCTCTGTGCTCAGAGGCCGCTCCCCTGGGTGCTTGAGGGGGACTATGCCGTGCCAGGGGTGGGACCTGGGTCGGCTGCATGCGAGACAAGCACCCAGCAGGTCCCCCCAGCCCCTAGTTGTGCTTTGAGCTGGCACGCATAGGAATGATGTCATTGGCGACCTCTCCAGTCCCGACCTACAAAAAGCTGCCTGAGAACATGCAGCCACGCTTCCTCGAAGATGAAGGGTTTTACATCGGGGCCAGGCCGGAGGTGCCGCAGACCAGCCAGAACATCATGGAGAACAGACTGCTCGTGCAGGAGTCGGTAGGTGGCGACCCTCCGCCCAGCCCAGTGTGGTTAGATGGTCATGTTTTTGCAATTGGGGAGCACTCTTGGCAGTGCCCAGAGAGCCTGTGGTGCTGGGGACCAGTTGAACACTCCCCCACCCCCCTTGCCAAGTATGAATTCTAGCCCTTTGTGCTGACTCCCCGATTCCTTGATTTGGGGGGAAGGTGGCCACACCCAGCTGTGCTCAGTGCTTATTCCTCGCTCTGTGCTCAGGGGACCGGATGTGATGCTGGGAATTGACCTGGGGTCAGTCACAGACAAGATAAGCGCCCGAACCTCTGTATTATCTTGCTGGTCCATGTTTTATTTTATTTTGAATTTGACTCATTACTTTTGGTCCCCAGTAACACACCACTCCCCAGCTCCAGCTCTGTCCTGTTGGATTCAGACTTTTGCTAAATCAGCTTTAGGAACCTCTTCCCCGTTCACAGCAGATGTTTCACTGTCCACAGATACGGTGTTCTCAATTGCTTATCTCCTGTGATTTTTAAACATTCTTTAATGGGCAGAAAAACATTTTATTCCTCATATGCTCATTTAGGCTTTTTTGTTAACTCTTTATCATCATCATTATTGTTGTTGTTGTTGTTTACTTAGGGCATATCTTGAATTCATTGGGGCTCGGGGGATGTCAGTGAAGAGTCTCAATATCTAAGTAAACGGACTTGAATGGATCTAGGATATAGAATGGCGAGAAGAAAGTGGGGTACAGACAAAATTTTTGCACATGTTTTGCAAATCATCTTTGGGTGAGAAGACAGTTTCCTTTCCTCTGCTTGGGTTTCAGGGGAGAAAATGGTTCGGAGATGATGGCAGAATCATCGCCCTGCCCAACCCCATCAAGCCTTTTCCTTCAAGACCCCCAGTGTTGCCCCCCGGGCACAGCACCAAGGCCGAACTTGAAACGCTGTATAAAAAGGTGAGTCTTCCCCCACTTTGAATCATGCGTTTATTTCAGAGTGCTTCGCTTGGGGAGTAGCGTGGGTTACTCGAAACGACTTATAAAAACTTGAGTTTTCATACTGCTACTTAACCCTGTATTTAGCAAAGAGGCTGTCAGAGGGGGGAAGGGTGATACAGTGTGAATTAACTGTGATTAGTATGACTTAGCTGAGTTGGAAGTATCTAGAAGAAATCTGATGTATGCCCTGCCCCCCCCATCTTTTTAATTTTTAACTGCTTCTTAATTTGTCTTTTCTGCGATGCATTCTGCTGATGGAATAAATGGGGTCAGCATGCAGGTCGGGACTCTGCAAGTCCTTGAGCCCCTAAATGGAATCTGCTGGATTTGCAGCTCAGCGCTGTCAGCTCTGATGCAGACCAATGCCAGTGGGACTGACCCGAACCTTTGCTCATCAGCACTGAATCAGCCATTGCTGTTCAGATAGAAACACAAGGTGGTTGGCTCCAGCAATGAATTCTTCCCCTAGTCCCGACTAGGTGATTCGGAGTTTTATTCGGATGGACTCAGTAGCCAACTCTTCTTAAAGCACTTTCCTTAGCTACAAAGAGAGAGAGAGAGAGAGAGAGAGAGAGAGAGAGAGAGAGAGAGAAAGCATAGTCTGTTCTTCCTAAGAGTTCTTCTTTAAGTGTCATTAGAAAAATGCACAAAGAGATTAGATGTTTTGCAAATACTGTCAGACAAACACTGTCCTCCCATTGTTCTTTGATTTGCTCAAACGGGCCCAGTAACTTCTCCATTTTGAGACTTGATGTTACTGTGTTTGGCATATCGAGTACGTCACGGGTAGCTTGCCAGGCTCTGCCGTGCGGGCGAGATACTCTCGGTAGTTTGCCGGGCTCTCCGAGAGGGGCGGAGGAATTGAACCCGACTCGGCCGGGCTGGCTGCACGCAGGGCCCTACCACTGTGCTATTGCTACAATGTTTTTCAAAGAACAGAATTTAATCTCAAATTAGAAAGAATGCAATTAAGGAAAAACTAACTTAAAAATAAAAACAAAAATGGCAAATAGGACGTTAGCGTGTAAACCCATAAAAAGCGCAGATTGCCTGTTCATCTGAGCAAAGTAGGGCCAGGATTCTTGAAAGCAGTTAAATTCTCTTACATCCTTTCTTCCTGCCTTTTTCTTTGCTTCTTCCTTCCTTGTTCTCCTTCCTTCTCATCTTACCTTCCCCCTTTTATTTTACTCTTTCTTCCTCCTTTCTTCCTTAATTCCTTCCTTCTTCCTGCTTAAACTTCCTCCTTCCTTTGTTCTTCCTTCCTGCCTCTCCATTTTTTCCTTACTTTCTATTTTCCCTCACACTTTCCCTCCTCTCTTCACTATTTTTTCCACCTTTCATTGAAAACCCACCATATTTTTTCAGTTGTGCTAAACTCTGGGAATACATTGGGTGGTAGAGGCAGTCAAAGAGCCAGAGAAACTTGATTCCCGGTGTGGAAGACAAATGTCCTCAAGGGTTAAAGACTGATTAGAAGTCAGTCTGACGTTCCAGGGCCTCCATGAGGATACCTCCCCCTTCAACACATCAATTTGAGGATTTTTTTATTTGTTTTGTTTTGGAGCCACACCCAGTGATGCTCAGGGATTACTCCTGACTCTGCACTCAGGAATCGCTCCTGACAGTGCTTGGGAAACCATATGGGGTGCTGGGGATAGGACCCCGGTCGGATGCTTGCAAGGCAAATGCCCTCCCTGCTGTACTGTCGCTCCAGCCCCACAGTTTGAGGATCTGTTATGGTTCCAGCCTCCTTGCTGCATCTACTGAAAGGCTCACTGCCCCTCCCCTCCTTCTAGCTGCTTCCCACATCAGCACAACTTGCCTGCTGTGCCCTACACACAACTTTCACGAAGCACTCTCTGGAGGGTGAATGACAGAAACCTGGCTCAAAATAGCTTTCGTAAGGCTGGAGGTGTAGTACTGCGGATAGGGCATGTGCCTTGCATGTGGCTGACCCATGTTCGATTCCTGGCACCCCTTCTGGTCCCCCAAGCACTGCTGGGTGTGGCCCAGAAAAAAAAAATTGACAGAATAGCTTTGGTTTAGAGGAACCTTAGTGTCTTGGCATCTAGAAGGTTCTGGAGGTTTTGTAGAGCTGCAGGAAGAGCTGATTAGGACCCAGGTCCTGATGCCCAGCCCATCTGTAACTCTCTCCTCTGCTCTCCACGAGCACTGGAAGGTCGTCATTTCCTCCCATCATAGGCAGGTTGCAGTTAACTGCAGTTTAGGAGAACATGACCATAGATGACTGGGGGATGACCTCTCGCTCTCCCCTGGGTGCACATGTTGGAGACTCGGACAGACTTGGCAGCTCTCAGGGGGTCTCCTCAGCCCCTCCTCATGTCCAAGACAAGGGGTGGTGAGCACCACCCGGTGCCATCCTGTGGGATGCCCCACACCCAGACACTCCGCGCAGGGTGGCCCTGGTAGCCCCAGGCCGAGCAGCAGCACGTCAGTTTGGCCTAAGCACACAGCTGGCAGGCACAGCTGGGCGCAGGATGACTAGGAGTAGCACCCAAGGTCCCTTAAGTGCTGCTTCAGAGACACCCCCAATGTAAAAATAAATAAATATCTACCCCCTAAACCCAGAGAGCCTCCCAAGTAAAGCAGAAGCCTGCTGGAGACTCATGGGCAGTCCTGGAGCTGCCTCGGGAGAGGGCTACACGTATGTTTCCAGGGAAAATAGAGGAACTTGTGTTTCAGTACCACCCATAATTATTCTTTTTTTCTGAACAGTGGGGGTTTTTTTTTACTTTTTTTTCTCCCTTCCCCTAGTATATCTCTGAGCAAACTGAGCATGTCAGCAGCTCAGCTAGAGATATTTGGGCTGGAATAGTATAGCAGGTAGCACATTTGCCTTGCACACAGCCGACCCAGGTTGTATCCCCAGTATCTCATACGGTCCTCTGAACCCACCAAGAGTAATTCCTGAGTGCAGAGACAGGAGTAACCCCTGAGCATCGCTGGAGGTGATCCAAAAAGTCAAAAAACAAAACAAAACAAACAAAAAAAATACCTAGAGATATTCTCCTCTGATGGGGTTGGTTTTCAGTTTTCCAGTGATGACTGATGCATCAGATCTATTCGATTTTTTAAAAATATAACCTATAGGCATTATTTATTCTTCTGCAGGGTTGTGACTACTGTTTTCATGATAGCTCTTAGTGTATAAGAAAAGAAACAGAGAGAGAAAGAGAGAGAGAGAGAGAGAGAGAGAGAGAGAGAGAGAGAGAGGAGGGATATCAGGAACTGCGTCTCTTTCTACCTCCTGATGGGTCTGAACAGTCTAGTGGCTGCCAGGAGACCCAGAAGCTTTGAGAGCTTGGATGAGCCTGGAGGGGCTGACCCACTCTCATCAGAACTGAACAGAGGTTCGTGCAGATCGAAGGAAGGAGACCCAAGTACAGGGACCCACTGAACACTTCAGCTCAATCCAGCCTGCCTCCAGGTTCCTTCCTCATGCCAGGAAGAGAACAGGACAGAACCTGAGAGCCACACCTGAGTGATATCATGATTCTGGAATGTTCTGGAATGAGGCAAGGCAAGAACCTCTAGGCGCCAAACAGTGAGGGAAGAGTTTTCATTAAGTCTCTGGATTAGTTGTATGTGTGAGGTGAACAATTTTTCATTCACTCAGGTAGCGTGATTGTATAACATATAGTAGTGTCGTTGCCACAATGAAAACGTATTGACGGGGGACCGTGGGTGTGACTTGGCCTTGCCTGTATGAGGGTCCCCAGTGCTGTTCACTCACCAGCACTTTAAAGTCAGGAGCCAAACAGTATCAAAGTTGTAACATGACTATACTGGAATACTTTACCAAGTGAAAGGGAAAGAAAAGGGCCTCGACTCAGTCTCAAGTGTAAAGTCTAACCAGGGGTGTAAAATCAGAACTGGAGCTTTCAGACAAGATATTGGAATATTAGTGTTCTAGTGGAATATAAATCCTATATCCAAATGGAGAGTCAGCACTTTGGGGAAGGTACTGGAAGAGTCCCTGCTCAGGCCTTCCCTATCCCAAGATTTACACCTGTATCATTTTTAATAGAAACCTCTGTAGATCATTTTATCAAGAACAAATAATGCTATATATCAGAGGAAGTGTAATAAAATCAATGTAGGATATACTAAGTTGGTTTCTTGCAGGAAGTCTTGTGCCCGTATGTATTAATAGTCTCCTAATCAAAGATAAAATATGTAGTTGAAAAGAAATAATTCTTTTCTTTTCATATATCCTTACTCATATACACCAATACAGTTCACTTAGCAACATTCCACATTCATTGGCAAATGAAGACTCTTTGTATATGCTTTTGCTCATAAATGCCAACATGAGTACTCTTGTAGTGATTAATGGCTGCAAAGCAAATTATACAATTATACAATTGTGAATATGTTTTTGGACAGATATTATGTATGTACAATGTGGAACTTTTCTGTTCTTAGGGTGATAGAGAAAACTGTTCGAGTATTCTCATCTAGGAAGTATCTGAGGTTCCTTCCTCCACACATCCAAGTTTGACCCTTTATAATCTCTTGTGACATAGATTAGATCCCAGCTTCCCTTATGATGGGGAGCTACTGAACACTGACCCCCCACTATGGATCAGGAATCCCTTCATTCATCTTTGCGGAATGGTTTGTATGATACCTAGATAGATACATTATTTCACCTCAGCCTCCACTGTTTTTATGAAGAGAGATAAACAGAGACCCAGAAATGTGTAGAAACCAGTCAGTGTCTCCAGAGCAAGAAGAGTTCTGGCTCTGGCTAGAACCCAAGACCCCCTCTAGTCCCTTTAAGTGATGCCCTGGAGAATACTAAGTGAAGGGATGCTGATCTGTCACCTGTCACCTGTCATTTATGCAGGATGGAAGCTTCCATTCTGATGAGCCTTTTTTGCAACTTCCATTTCACTTCGTAACTTGTAAATAATACAGTTCGGATCACAAAATCTTACATTATCACTCTTCAGATAACATAAATAGCTTCCAAAATTCATTTCTTTGCGAAAGGGAATTCTGGACTGTTAGGTCTCAATCCCACATTTCCACTGTGCTGGTGCTGCTGACGAGGAGAGACAATGAAGACAACCCCGAGGATTGCACTCCCTGCATGGAGATCACTCCAAGGGCCTGAACAAAGCCTTGTATGTGCTGGATGGAGCTCCATCCCTGTCCCGCCTGGCACCCGAGCACAGCCATCACCGTCAGGGCCTCCGAGCAGCTGGACCTGAACTTTCAGACCCACAGGGCCATGCTGAGTCCCACCAAGAGAGTCCCCTGGGTTTCCCGTGCACTTCCTCCCCAAATACTACAATGTCACAAATTCTATGGAAGAAGAACAACAGGATTCATCTGACACTGTGTATGCCAAGCGGTCCAGGAAAATACCAGTGGACTTTTCTGTTCCCGCTTTCTACGTCCAGCTGCTACATCTCTTGTTTCTACTGTTTCCGTAGTCTCCTCCCCCCACCCCCCACCCCACCCCCGCCGCCTCTGTGGTAGGCACATTCCCTTTTACTCTCTCTCTCCTTTTGGGTGTTATGGTTTGCCATACAGGTATTAAGTGGCCATCCTGTTCGGTCTATAGTCTACTTTCAGCACACATCTCCCATTCTGAGAGAGTCCTCTAAGCATCCTTTACTTGGTGGTCCCTTCTCTATCTGAGCTACCTTTTCCCCCACATGAGGTCGACTTCCAAGCTGTGGAAACTCCAGGTCTTAAGCAGCAAGCTTGTCACGTGGCAATGACCAAGACTATGGTTGAGAGAATGAAACCTAAATAACACAGGAGAACAAAAGTGAAATCATATCTCACTGATGCTCTTCCATTTGCTTTTTGAGTATTCAGGAAAGAGCAGGCCCCCAGAATGTGGGAGCAAGGAAATTGGGTCTCTTCCTCTTCCTCCTGGCTTGCATGTGTCGGAGGCATTCTGCACTCGGCCATCTCCCCAGGACTCATTGTTGTCTCGGGTCGTGATCCGCATGTCCCCGACCCTCCACTCTTGGCAGGCAGTGAAATACATGCACCCCAGCCAGCATCAGATGGGATCCAGAGACTCTCCTGGAAACTTCCAGCTGGACATTGATATTTCGGGCCTGATCTTCACGCACCATCCCTGTTTCAGCCGGGAGCACGTCTTGGCAGCCAAGCTGGCCCAGTCATATGACCAGTACCTTGCGAGGCGCCAGAGGAACAAGACACAATTCCTCACCGATAAGGTGTGATGTTCTTTTTCGTGTCTGTTGTTGTCAAGGTTGTTTCTGATGAGCCCCATGAGGAAAACACTTTCCAGCAGCCAGAGGTTCATACATTGCCTTCACGTACCCCTGGAAGATGGGTGAGACTTCGTCTTCCTAGAGGAAAGGGAGGCTTTGAAGGTCTACACTGAACTGTGATGATTCAGTGGTACATGGGAGATTTTGTGCAGACAGGGTCAGCAGTCACTGCCCAGCGTGGGCATTAGGGGAAAGATGTGTGACTACGTCTTGCCCTTGTCATGTCAGGGGCTGAGACCATTCATGGCTTGAGAACATTGTCCTTGGAGGCATTCTCATTTTTACATGTAATTTATCCATATATTTACTTGGGGAGCCTTCCAACACCATACTCAGGAGATGCAGGGCCCTCACCAATGACCTCAGGCAACTGGCTGGCGATTCACTGCAAGGGCGTGAGTCGCAGTACTGCTTGGGTCCCACAGTTCTTGGGATTATCCAAGTCCCCCTCCTTCCCCCATGGTGCTTGGGGACCATATGTCTGGAAATCAGACCTAGGTCGTGCTAGGCATATGCCATCACCACTGTCGTATCTCACAATCCCTTTTATATGTCATTCTCCCAGTCATGGTACTTAAGACAACTCAGCCGTTTTTGCTGACCCCCACAGACATTGCTATTTGTTTTGAATTTATTTCCAATATGATACTATCCCGTGAAACATTCATGGATGACTTGGATGTTTCTTTCGATTGTTTTTGTTTTGTTCTGGGGCCATGCCCCGAGGTGCTCAGGGCTAACTCCCATTGGTCTCAGACCTATGCCTCTTCAAGTGTCTATGATGTGATGATCAATTTAGCTTATGAGAGAGGATCAGAGAGAGCATACAAGAGGTAAAGTTTTTGCACATGGCTGACTCTGGCTTGATCCCAGCATTTCATGTGTTCCTCTGAGCATGCCCAGGACTGATCCCTGACTTTATCCAAGAGTAAGACCTGAGTGCAGCTGACTGGCCCCCAGACTGGATATATATTATTGCAGAGTAAAGGAGATAGCTCAGCTGGTGTGTGTGTGCATAAGTGTGAGACCCTGCGTTCAGTCTCCAGAAACACATGAAAACTGCTGGGTATGGCCTCGATTAAAAAAAAAAAAAAAGAATATTCGGCCAGAGAGATAGTACAGTACATAGGGTATGTGGCCAAGCTGGCTTGGTCCCTGGTACTACACATAGTCCACATGAGCCCTGTCAGGAGAAATCCTTGAATGCAGGATCAGGAGGAAGCCCTGAGCACCAATCGGGTGTATCCCCAACACAAAACAAAGAAACAAAACAAAACCCCTGAAAAATAGAAATGAGTTGTCTGTACCCAGAACAAATCCTTCTAACCTTAAAGGAAAACATATTTCCACCCCTAAGGCCCCAGTGTGAGGCTGTTGGGTAGCCCTTGACAACTGGTTCCTATATAAAACAAAAAGGGGGAGATGTTGGGGTCTCAGCAGCTAGCCTGAGAAGTTTGACCAAATCCACTGCCCCTGAAGCAAGAGCAGGCCCTGTTTACAAAGACCTGGCGCGGGGGGGGGCGGGGGGGGGGGTGCGCTCCAGCACTCCCCATAGGCAGGCACTCTGCTTAAGAATGAGGGACATGACTGTGCCCACCCACCCATATTGTTAACCCGGCCCTAAGAGCAGGATATGTGAATCATTAACTGACATCTGTACGAACCCTACCTGAGAAGCCTGAGAAGGGTGCTGTACTAGGGAATCGTGCTGAGTGTGGGATACCCGCCCCCCTCCCCCGAGTGTACATAAGAACCCCTGGGTTGGGGCCAATAAATGGAGAACTGCTTGACCACCAGGGGGAAAAAAAACAGAAAAAGAAAACATATTTCCAAGACACAGCAAAGTAACTTTGTCTTGGGAAGCCTAATTTAGTAGGTCACAGACAAAATGGCCATGCTCCAAGCTTTATTATTCCTCTTCTTCAAGAGTAGAAAGAACAGTCCTCTGCAGAACATGGAAGCAGCTCCATCCACAGGCTGCCCACGAAGTGGGTGTCTCTAGGCAAGGATAGCAAGGAATAGAGCGTTGAATTCAAAACCTTGTGTCCCTCTTTCAAGCTTCAAGCTCTAAGAAATGCTGTTCAGATGGGCCTTCATCCAGCAAAAAGTCACAAGTCTTCTGAGACACCCCCCAAAACCATCCAGGAGTACAAGGCTGAAATCTGGTGAGTTAAGTCTCGTTTTCTTCCTGTTAAATGTGAACTCTTTCTCTTTCTCTCTCAAATGTTTTTCTGAAGATGGGTGACACTGAGTTAGATGAATTAATGAGGAATTAAGTTGTCACCAGACCGTGCAGGAGTGAGGATATACAGCCATGGGAACTTGGCAGCCCCACTAAGAAAAACAGGTGCTGGGCATCGTCCTTTTGTGAGAGAGGCATGGCCATAGGTGAGCAGGGGATGGCCGGTGCCTCCAGCCTTACAACCCTGCATTCTGCTTCAGAGTCACATGCTCTAAGGAGCCTTGGGCATTTGTGCTCATGGAGAACCTATGTCACAGCATCCATTCACCAAAGCCCAGAACAGGAGGAGCACTCCTGTCTGAGAGGAGCTTGCTGGGAATGGCTGCACCAGCATGAAAGATAATTCCCTCTGCCTGTATCAAGTTGAATAAAACTCATGATGCAGAAGAGAAACTCATAGTAGGCAGATGTTCACTGTACAAGCAGTTGACAGCTCCTAAAGAGCACCCATCTGAAGTGACCCTTCTTGTTCTGGGAGCATATGGGCAGGACACATGAGTGAGAAAGATATGAGGGGTTCCCAAGCGATCTTTGGGGGTGGACAGTAGGAAACAGAATAGGGAGGTGGACAGATGTAACTCGAATGTGGTAGAGCCAAAATCTACGGTCCATGTGGCATCCTATGAAGTATCATGTAGCAAGTAGAGGTCCTCTTCCATGGTTTTGAATCATTCAGATCCCAGAATGAAAACCCTGCTTCTTGGCGAGTAATAAGGAATACAGAATATGGCTAGCATGGAACAGCTTCTAGAGTGCCACCCCTCTGGAAACATTGTGGGCTTTTAGATTCTCTTTTTGCTAATGTATGTGCATAACTGTGTGTTTATGGGTGAGTTTCACTTTTTTAAAAAGGAGAGTTTCACTGTTTTTTTTTTAATTTTTATTAGTGAAACACCATGAGGTACAGTTGTAGACTTACAAATTTTTGTCCTTGGGTTTCAGTTATACAATGATCGAGTACCCATCCTTCCACCAGTGCCCATTCTTCATCATTTACTTTTTTTTTATTTTTTCTTTTTTATTAGTGAAACACCATGAGGTACAGTTGTAGATTTACAAATTTTTGTGCTTGGATCTCGGTCATACCACGATCAAATACCCATCCCTCCACCAGTGCCCATTTTCCACCACCAGGATAATATCCCTCCCCCCCCCATCCTCCCATCCCCCCCTCCCCCCCTGCCACTGTGGCAGGGCATTCCCCCCTGTTCTCTCTCTCCTCCTGGGCGCTGTGATCAGCCAAAGAGGCATTGAGTGGCGAACATGTTCAGTCCAGTCTACTTTCAACTTGCATCTCCCCTCCTGGGAGGATCCTCCAAACACCCTCCACTTGGTGTTCCCCTTTCTATCTGAATTGTCCTTTCCCCTAGAATACCCAGCTGGCCTCTAAGTTATGGAGTAATTCTCCTGGTGTTGCTCTCAGCTATTCTTGGGTATTAATCTCATATTTTATTATTTTATATCCCCCAGATGAATGCTATCTTTCTATGTCTATCCCTCTCTTTCTGACTCATTTCGCTTAGCATGATACTTTCCATATTGTACCACTTGTATGTAAAGTTCATGACTTCATCTTTTCTAAGAGCCACATAGTACTGCATTGTGTAGATGTACCAAAGTTTCTTTAACCAGTCATCTGTTCTTGGGCACTCAGGTCTCTTCCAGTTTCTGGCTACTGTAAAGAGTGCTGCAATGAACAAACAAGTGCAGATGTCACTTCGGCTACACGTTTTTGCCTCTCTGGGATATATTCCCAGGAGTGGTATCGCTGGGTCAAATGGGAGCTCAATTTCTAATTTTTTGAGGAACGTCCATACTGTTTTCCAGAAGGGCTGAACCAGTGGACATTCCCACCAACAGTGAAGGAGTGTCCCTTTCTCGCCACATCCGCGCCAGCAACAGTTGCTTTTGTTCTTTTGAATGTGGGCCAGTCTCTGAGGTGTGAGATGGTATCTCATTGTGGTTTTGATCTGCATCTCCCTGATGATTAATGATGTAGAGCATTTTCTCATGTGCTTTTTTGCCATTCGGATTTCTTCTTTGAGAAAGTTTCTGTTCATTTCATTGCCCCATTTTTTGATGGGGTTTGATGTTTTCTTCTTGTGGAGTTCAACCAGTATTTTGTATATCCTTGATATCAACCCCTTGTCAGATGTGTATTCAGCGAATATTCTTTCCCATTCTGTAGACTGTCTTTGTATTTTGGTCACTGTTTCTTTGGAGGTACAGAAGCTTCTTAGTTTAAGATAGTCCCATTTATCTATCTCTGTTTTCACTTGCTCAGCCAGCGGCGTGTCATCTTTGAACATACCATTAGCCTCAATGTCATGGTTTTGCCAACTTTGTCTTCAATGTATCTTATGGTTTCTGGTCTGATGTTGAGGTCTTTAATCCATTTTGATCTTACCTTTGTACATGGTGTTAGGCAGAGTTCTGAGCCCATTTTTTTGCATGTAGCCGTCCAGTGATGCCAGCACAATTTGTTAAAGAGGCTTTCCTTACTCCACTTCACATTACTTGCACCTTTATCAAAGATTAGATGAGCATATGATTGGGGGGTGATGTCAGTGTATTCAACTCTGTTCCATTGGTCTGCAGTTCTGCCTTTGTTCCAGTACCATGCTGTTTTAATTATTACTGCTTTGTAGTAAAGTTTGAAGTTCGGGAGGTTGATTCCTCCCATTTTCTTTTTCCCCAGAATTGCTTTAGCTATTCGTGGGGGTTTATTGTTCCATATAAATTTCAGGAGTGTTTTCTCCATTTCTTTGAAGAATGTCATGGGTATCCTTATAGGAATTGCATTGAATTTGTACAGTGCTTTCGGTAGTATTGCCATTTTGACAATGTTAAGTCTCCCGACCCATGAGCAGGGGATGTCTTTCCATTTCCTCATGTCCTCTTTTATTTCCTGAAGTAGCGTTTTGTAGTTTTCTTTGTACAGGTCCTTTACTTCCTTAGTTAAGCTGATTCCTAGGTACTTGATTTTCTGGGGCACAATTGTGAACGGGATTGTTTTTTTCATGTTGCTTTCTTCTCTCTCACTGTTTGCGTATAGGAAAGCCATGGACTTTTGGGTATTGATTTTATAACCTGCAACTTTACTATACAAGTCTATTGTTTCTAGGAGTTTTTTGGTGGAGGTTATTGGGTTCTCTAAGTATAGTATCATATCATCTGCGAATAGTGAGAGCTTGATTTCTTCCTTTCCTACCTGAATGCCCTTAATGTCTTTTTCTTGCCTAATTGCTATTGCAAGTACTTCCAGTACTATATTGAACAGCAGTGGAGAGAGTGGGCATCCTTGTCTCATCCCTGATCTTAGAGGGAAGGCTCTCAGTTTTTCCCCATTGAGGATGATGCTTGCTGTAGGCTTGTGGTAGATGGCTTTAACTATGTTGAGGAAAGTCCCCTCTATGCCCATTTTGGCTAGGGTTTTCATCATAAAGGGGTGCTGGATCTTGTCAAATGCTTTCTCTGCATCTATTGATATGATCATATGCTTTTTATCTTTTCTTTTGTTGATATGATGGATTATGTTGATTGATTTCCGAATGTTGAACCATCCTTGCATCCCTGGGATGAATCCTACTTGGTCATGGTGTATGATCTTTTTGATGAGTAGTTGGATTCTATTTGCTAGTAGTTTGTTGAGGATCTTTGCATCTGTGTTCATCAGAGATATCGGCCTGTAGTTCTCTTTCTTTGTGTTATCTCTGTCTGCTTTTGGTATCAGTGTGATATTTGCTTCATAGAAACTGTTCGGAAGTGTATTTGATATTTCAATTTCATGGAAAAGCTTAAAGAGGATTGGGAGTAAGTCTTCTTTAAAGATTTGGAAGAATTCACTGGTGAATCCATCCGGGCCAGGGCTTTTGTGCTTGGGGAGACTTTTTATTACCATTTCAATTTCCTTGATGGTGATAGGTCTGTTCAGGTATTCCAGGTCTTCTTGGTTCAGCCTTGGGAGTCTGTAGGAGTCTAGGAATTTATCCATTTCCTCGAGGTTTTGATGTTCTGTGGCATAAAGCTTTTCAAAGTACTCCCTGAGGATCCTTTGAATTTCTGTAGTTTCTGTTGTAATGACCCCCTTTTCATTTCTGATTCGGTTTATTAGGGTTTTCTCTCTCCCTTTCTTTGTGAGTTTTGCTAGGGGCTTATCGATTTTGTTAATTTTCTCAAAGAACCAGCTCTTGGTTTCATTGATCTTTCGGATTGTTTTCTGGGTTTCCATCTTGTTAATCTCTGCTCTGAGTTTTATTATTTCCTTCCTCCTGTTAGGGTTGTGCTCCTTTTGTTGGTCCTTCTCCAAGTTCTTAAGCTGTGAGGTTAGTTTATTTATGTGGGCTCGCTCCTCCTTCCTGAGGAATGCTTGTAGAGCTATAAACTTTCCTCTTAAGACTGCTTTTGCTGTGTCCCATAGGTTTTGGTAACTCGTGTCCTCATTTTCATTCGTTTCTAGGAATCTTTTGATTTCCTCTTTAATTTCCTGTCTAAGCCACTCGTTGTTTAATAGCGCACTGTTTAATTTCCATGTGTTTAATTTAGTTTTCTGTTTTTGTGTGTTATTTACTTCTAATTTCAGCGCATTATGGTCTGAGAAGATTGTTGATATAATCTCTATCTTCTTAATTTTATGGAGGCATGTTTTGTGGCTCAGCATGTGGTCTATCTTGGAGAACGTTCCATGTACGCTTGAGAAGAATGTGTATTGAGCTTTTTGTGGATGAAGTGTCCTGTATATATCTACTAAGCCCCTTTCTTCCATTGTTTCCCTCAGATGAAGTATGTCCTTGCTAAGCTTGAGTCTGGTTGATCTATCAAGAGGTGACAAAGCGGTGTTGAGGTCTCCCACTAGTATTGTGTTGCTATCGATGTCTTTTTCCAAATCTATGAGTAATTGTTTTAAGTACTTTGCTGGTCTCT